CATGATTTCTTTATAGACCCTCCCATCAGGACAGGGCGTCTTTCCCCATTTCCCCCAGTTCCCACAGGCAGCCACCCTCTAGTCCAAGTCACATCATCTCCCCCTTGATTAGCTCTACAATAGCCCTTAGCGGTTCTCCCCACATCCACTGTGCCCCCCACCAAGCATCCTACACACAGGAGGCAAAGGACATGAAGGCACCAAATAGAGTGCGCCATTCATCTGCTGTATGTACACCCGCTAGTGGCAGCCTGGCCTCCTTTCCCACAAACTGCCGGACTGTGCACCATCCACTCCCGCCACCTCTCTGCCTGCCTCCTCCTGTTCACACTGCTCCGGCCTTGTGTCTGGGGCTGTGACCCCGCGGCCACATAGCTGGTCACCTGGAGAGACACTGGAGCAGAAAGCCGAGGCAGAACTTGAGCAGGAAAGCTTGAAGCACTGAAGTTTCACTTTAAGAGAAACACTGAAGTGTTAGGCAGAAGCCAGGCAAGACCGAACACTACTCCGCGAACCTGGGGAAGGGGCTTTTCTAAGAGGTGGTGATGGAGGTGGCATCAGGGAGGAGGGGGCTGGGGAAACACAGCTTCAGGTGCAAGTTGAATGGTCGGAAACCTTGGCCGTCACCCTGCAGGGGACGGTGAACATGGTGAGTGAGTCGCCAGCCAGCTTTCTGTGACCTCCCCGGCTCTCTCACATCACTTAGCTCACCCTTGACGGGACACCTCTGGCCCTCCAGTAGAGGCTAAACTCCTCAGTGGGGAAGGATTGGGTCAGGTTCGTATTTGTAGCTCCATCTGCCAAACAGAGCTCCGCACAGAGACAGCAGCGAGAATGTTTGCTGGCGGTCATGAGCAACAGTTCTTGCCGGGCCCTCCTGGGAGCAGGACCCCACTTTTCTTCTAGAGAACTCTCCCTTCCCGACTCTCACCCACGTGCTCCATGTCAGAGTCGCTCCCTCCCTGGCTCCAGAGCTGGACACATGGCCCAGGCCTAGCCAAGCAAAACAACACTCTCTCCCGACCGCAATTACTGGTTCGGGAATGAGTAAGTGACCATCCCAGAACCGAGGAGACAAATGAGACAGAGAAGTCGGGGTGAAGGCAAGTGCTGTTCTGCTAGGGCCGCGAGCAGCAAGGATGCTGTAAGCTCGATGCTGCTAAAGGCCTGAAGTTAGCCAACATGTTGGAAGGTGGAGGCGAAAGAAGGGAGGGAGGTCGATTCCTGATGACACGGTTTAAGGCCTGGATACAGCTGAGTCAGAAGTCATTTATGTCATTGGATTCTTGAGTCATCCAAGCATGATTTCCTTTTCCTGCCTGAGGCAATTAGAGTTGGGTTATCTGCCACTTACATCCAAAAGAGTCCTGACAGATATGAATGGATGGATGGATGGATGGATGGATGAATGAGTCTACCAGAACACTTGTGGCATAGAGGAAAAGACACTGTGCTAGGAGTCAGGGTAGTGTCCTGCCATTTATCATGTGACATTGGGCAAGGTGCCTAATGTCTCTGGTTTAGAGTTCCAATATTCATTTATTCAATAAATACTTACTGGCATTTATTGTACCAGCACCATCCTAGGTGTTGGCCCTACTGTGGTAATGAAACTCTCATGGTTCCTAATCTCATGAAAATGGAAATGAATTTCAGTTCTAGAAAAATTAAGTTTTGCTTTTGTACACCTGCTCTTGTCGCCGTAAAATCTGTGATCGAAGTCTCTACCACTTGGGTAACTGGTAACCATTATTATTTCTTCAACTCCTTATCTGCTAATATTGTAAGATTAGCTAAGAGGGGCAAGAAATGGAACCTAGTATAATGCAGGAGGAGGTACAGACTTCACTTCCTTCTCAGTGTTCAGGGTCAATCAGAAGTAATGTTTATGAGCCTAATTACACATGGCACTGAGCTAGAGGGTGTAACGAGAGCCTGGCATGGGCCTGGGTCTAATCCTCTGAGACTTTTAGCTCTAAGAACAGTCAGTGTGCTACCAAGTACATTATTTCTGACCTCTGGCAAATACACTTTCCTGAGTCAAATATGCTCATCAGTGTTCCCAAGAATCAGGCTTAGAAATGGAGCTACTTAAGCTTGATCTCTTTCAATTCTTGTTTAAGGAACTGATAATGCCAACTGCAGTTGAATTTTCATTTTTAAAGGGAATTCACAGCTTGGACTGAAGTGGCAGAATGTCAGATACAAGCCCAGTAAAAGAGTTTAAGTTTACCAGGCCCAACATAACCAGTCCTATTCCATCTCCTACTATTTATTCATCCATGTATTTAACAAAAATTTAGCGAGTTCCCACTCTGCACCAGGCACCATCCTGGAGCGGCAGCTGGCTCACAAGAGGGCAGCCCACAGAGGGAGCATATCCAGAGACAAATACTCAAACATACGGCCTCTCTCACATCCCAGGTGTGCACACCTGCCCAAACCCAGCCAGGTGTTAATCAATCAGCCCTAATAAATCAGCTCATTTGCTCTATTCTAAATATAGCGCAGGTTCTTGCCTGTTCCAGTTATGATTGCTGTGTAAAAAATGACCTCAAAACTTAGTGGTTTGGTACTTAATGCCACTGAGTTGTACACTTAAAAATGGCCAAAGGGTAAATTTTATGTTATGTATATTTTACCATAATAAAAAAAGTTATGGAAGGATTTTAAAAAACTGTTTTGAAACAACCATCGAATTAATCTCACAGAGTCTGGGGGTCAGAACTGTGGCCAGGGCACAGGGGAAATGGTTTGTTTCTGCTTTATGGTGTCTGAGCCTTGGCTAGGAAAAAGGCTGGGGGTGAATCAATGTCTGGGTGCTGGAATTATCTGATGTTTCTTTCATTTAAGTGTCAGAGGTGACTCAAAAATCAGGCCTGTCTACTGAAGCCCCCATGTGACTTCTCCACGTGGTTTGGCTTTCTCACACATAGTAGCCTCAGGGTCGTCAAACTTTTTATAGGGGAACTCAGAGCTCCAAACGTGTGTTGCAGAAAAGAACGGAGGAGAGAGGTAAAACCTGTATCTCATTCATGGCCTAACCTTGTGCCACTTCTGTCATTCTCTGTTATGGTCAAAGCAGCTGTAAACCTCCCCAGATTCAGAGTTGGAGGTGGGTAGAATTAGACTCCACGTTTTGACTGGGGAGTGTAAAGATCACATTGTAGAAAAACACGAAGGGAGATATTGTTGCAGCCATTTCTGGAAAAATACAATCTGCAATACCACCTTTCTCAACGTACAAAAAGCAAAGAAACCTGTTGCGTGCTGCTCATTTCAGCGTTTTCTCGGGTGAAATGGGAGAGAACAAAAAACACAAACAACACAGACAAATAGACAGACAATGGCTGCAGCCCCAATGTGGCGCAGCACCTTTATTTTCATACTGCCTTTCTCGGACCTCAGCCAAGCTATACTCATCTTTCTCTTCTTAGGGGGGACAGGACAGAACATCTTGTTGATTTTCTTAGAATCTGCCTAGTAAGCAGAGTCAGTGTTTCCACACGTCCTCAAGGCCTCCCTATTTTCAGCGTCAGGCATTTTGGCTTGTCTTCGAGGACAAGATATGCTTTTGCAGGCAGATAACTTCCAAGGACTGCACTAGTTGTTCTCAAGCTGGTGCTTCCCCCATTCTGCATTCAGACATGGGGGAAGACAAAGACCGTCCCCTACAGAAACCACAGAAGAATCAGTTTAGAGAAACAGCACTGGAGGAGGCTTTTAGTGACCACATAATCCACCTTCCCAAAGAATGAGAACTTCCCGCCAGAGAGGGTCCCTCCTCAGGCTGGTAGAGTGCCAAGGGCATTAGGCTGGGAGTAGAGAGTTGGTGGTGTCTACATGCAGTTCTTCCCTTTCTAACTGTGTATTGCCTCAGGGTGGTAAGTATTCTCACTGGTGGTAAGTCTTCTCACCACTAGGACCTCTAAATCTTTTCTCGTCTTTAAAATGGAGGTAATTCTTGATCATGTTTTATCAGAGTTTTGTGAGAACCAAATAAAATATTGTATGTGAAGACAAAGTTGTTGCCAAAATGGCCACAAACTGACTCCCCAGGTAGACAGCCTACTTTGACGATGCCACGGGGAAGCCGGTGTACTGCCCGTTCATCTTTGTCACCCGTCTTCCCCCATCACAGCCATTCTGCTGTTTTTGCTTGCCTGTCTCAAAGGTGGAAGAGCCAGATGAAAGCGCAGAGAGGGAAAATGACTTGGATGGGGTCATACAGCCAAGAAAGAAGTCAAAACCCAGATCTTTCTGGGGTGCCAGCACTTTCCACTCTGAAGTCCTGCAGCTGCTGATGTTTTCTAATAGGTGGCTCTGACCTTGGCTGAGAAGCTTAACACAGATTAGAGCCAGCATCTGGAGTCACACTGCCTGGGCTCATATCCTAGCTGCACTGCAGACTAGTGACCTTGGGAAAGACACTTCCCTATGGGCAAAATGGGAGTAAGACCTCCCACACAGCATTAGGAAATAACCAAGTTAACAGAGGGCACATCTTGTTTGCTCTTGCCGCCAAAACCACAACTGTGGGCTTAGTTATCACAGATGCCAAATGTTTTAAGGTGACCCCTGAATGTTCTTGTTTGGATCAGTAACAATACTTGGATTAGTAACATCCAAGAATGTAATGAAATGTAACCGCAGAAGTGTCTTCTTGAAATGCCAAGTTCATTTTGGAGACAGCTTTAAAAAAACAAAAACCCATGAACCTCTAACATTTGCCAGCTTTAAATCTATGGAACTGCAAGCAAACTAATGTTTGGTGGAAATCTCCCTCTGACTCCCTCCCCAGTTGCAACTTTATTGCCTACAAGAAGCTCACAGACACCGCCGCAGGCGGTACAGGTCCGAAAAGACTATTCGCATCACACCCTTAACAACCCACCCCACGTGGTTTCCTTGCCCCGCTGCTTCCGCTTCCAGTCCTCCGACCTTTCCCATTGGGCGCCTTGAAATGACGTCATACGCAGGCGCCACGCCGCAGGAATTAGGCCCCGCGCCTGCGCTCTGCCTAGGGAGCCGCCCCGTGCTCGTCCCGGGGCGTGAGGCCCGGAGTCTTGCTAGTGTCCGGTTCCACTGGGGCTGTGAGGCGTCCTTGAGCTGAGAATCATGAACCGCAGCCGCCAGGTGACGTGCGTGGCCTGGGTCCGCTGCGGCGTGGCCAAAGAGACGCCAGACAAGGTGAGACCTGGTCACTCGGAGGTAGGGGAGCGGCCTCTTTGCGGCATCCTCGGTGAGCCCCGCCGGGGAACCTGGACCGCGAACACGCGGCCCTGGCCGGGCTGGTATGACTGGCGGCTGGTGTGGGGCCGGCTTTGGCCCGGTTGTCGTGACTGGAGCTGCGGCCCCGAGGGCCTGGGGAGTCAGGGGCCGCGCCCTCTCACGGACCTTCCCCCAAGCCGAGCCCACCCCGCAGTTAGCGCCCGCACGGACCGCACTGGCAGGACAGGGGCCGGGTGCTGTTCGGAGTGGGAGATTTCCCCAAAGCCTTCTGGACAACACGACTGCTTTGCCCACACCCCAGTGCGTTTTCAAGCATAACGGGAGAGGGAAGCACCCATGTGAAACTCCACTTCCCACTCCTGTGCTCGGTGTTCGGAAGAGTAAAGAGATGAAAGCCATAGTGTAGAGGAACTGTTGTCGAGACTACGATGTCGTGAGGCTGGGATGAATTAGAAATTTCTTGCCGTAGTCCAAGTTAGATGTTGATGTGGCATTGGGGATGGGAGGTAAACTTGAGGCATTACGAGGGGAAAGCCTACGGGAATTAGAGAGTGACGCTGTGGCAGAGGTAAAGATAAGTTATTCAACAGATACTAAGTGCTTTCTGCGTGCCTGGCATTTAAACAAAACAGAAAAAGCCCTTGCCTCTTTGGGGTTGACATGTGCAAGGGGGCGCCGTGTTGGTTTGAATGTAATTGATCCAATGAGGACAGGGATAGAAAGGTGGGAGTGTAAGAGGCTGTGATACGAAGTTAACAGGAATGAGGGGTTGGAATAGCCCCAGTTGATGTAAATTCCGCCACGGCACAGACTATACTTTATTCACTAGTTGCCCCATGTTTGGCTCACCGTAGATGCTCAATGCTTACACATAGAGACTTGGGACAGGAAATTACCTGCAATTTAAAACTATTGAAAGAGGCACAGTTATTTAAAAAGGACATACAGCCTTTCAGATACTTGAAGATAGTGATTTCCAAACATGTCTGCACATTGGAGCCACTTAGGAAACTTCAAAAAATACGACTATTACTGCTCCCAAGTACTGTGATTTAACTGGTCTGGAGCATAGCCTGAAATTATTAAAAGATCTCCCATGTGACTCTGATGTGCAGACAAGTTTGAGAACCACTGCTTAAAGAGTTTATAGGAAAAAGAGATTAAATTTATAAAATCCCAGAAAGGAAAACTCAGACCAATAAGAGAAATTGGAAGAACAAGTTTCTTTTAATAAAATTTAAGAACCTTCGTTTCCAGAACGGTCCAACTAGGGCATGTTATCCCTCAGGGTTTCCAGATTACTAGAGTACAAACTGGGTGATTGATTCATCATCCCTCATGAAGCATCGCTGCTATGAGCTGAGCACTGAACTGTGTGCTTAAGCTCAAAATGACAAGTGGGTTTCTGCCTTCAGGAGCTTGCAGTTCAACAGTGATAGAAGTGTTTTAAAGGGTACTGAAGCAGTGATTAAGTGAAGTCATGCCAGTTTTGAAGCAAAAAAAATGACTTCAATTTTGAACAGAATGTCCAAGTGGAGAGTCTTCAGAGCAAGTGGAAAAATGGACCTGGAGGGCTAGAGAAGGGAGAGTTCGGAGTAATCAGTGCAGAGGTGGTTGTTTCAGTCTTGAGGCTAAGTGAACTTTGCAAGAAAGTAACAGAATGATGCATGAATACCTGGCAGTGAATACCTTCCAGATACCTCTGGAAGAGAGCAGAGGACCAGGGCCAGGGTGGTTTGTTTAGGATTACCCACAGAGAAAATGGGGAGCAGTGAAGGAGTCAGAGTATTGGAAGAAAATGCAATGGGCTACCATAGAGGCCAGTTGGTACAAGTCTTTTGAAAAGACTGGAGAGAGAGAGACTTTAACGGTTTCAGGTGGGAAGGGAGCTTAATTGTAAGGACCTGTGAAAACTCCATTTAGGTTAAATTTAGAGAGTCTCGGTTTGATTATTGATGTCTTGAAGTTATTCTTTACATTAGTTTGCAAATTTCTTTTTAATTCAGAGACATTTCCTTAACTATCTTGTAATGAAATATTTGCTATCTTACAGGTAGAGCTTAGTAAAGAAGAAGTGAAACGTCTCATTGCTGAAGCAAAAGAGAAATTACAGTAAGTTTAGGAATGTTGATGTCTGTAGTGAAGTCCAGATGGGATGTAAATCTTAGATAATGATGACAAGGTGGTCTTGTCTTTGAATGGCAGCATTTGGGTGGTTTTTTTCTTAGAGACGAAGGAGGTAGTGATGAAGAGGAAGCAGGCGATCCTTCAGAAGAGGGCATGCGGAGTGCACGTACCCAGGCACGACCAAGGGAGCCCCTAGAGGATGGCGATCCGGAGGACGATAGGACACTGGACGGTGATGAGCTGGCGGAGTACGACTTAGATAAATATGATGAGGACGGCGACCCAGGTTTGAGTTCACTCACCTCTACTGGTTTTTAAGCACAAACTCAGTGCATTAGATCATGCTTCTAATGATCCGAAGTGTTACTCTCAGATTTTGTTGTCCTTTAGGTCAGTCAAGTAATCTGCTTTAGGGTGTGGGCAGACACAGTAAAGTCAAACTTTATTTGACCAGGAAACCCTTATTTAGTCTGTGTTGATTCCAGTGTTTTAGGGTAATTTATTTCCAGGTCCTTAGGGCCACCTCTCTACCATTTCTGAATGATGATTACAAGGTGCAAGCTAGAGACTGAATAGAATTGTACTATTTTCTAAAAGGGAGTTTGACAGTTTGATTTAATTCTTTTATTGGAAGATTGTGAATTCCAAAACTATCAGATATGCATTCCAAGGTCAAATATAGCTTTTAAATCCCTGTTTACTATTACCCACTGTTTTCTTTCCCAACTTGGATAATCCAGAATTAATTATGAAATAGACAGTTGGATCTAAGTCTAAACATGGGATGCTTTAGGAAAAAATGCTTTTGTCAAAATGACTGCTTTACTCATTTAAGTTTATGAATTCTTGTAGATACGGAAACTCTTGGTGAATCTCTCTTGGGTCTTACAGTTTATGGGAGTAATGATCAGGATCCTTATGTTACTCTGAAAGATACGGTAAACATTTACATGGCTTTTCTAATTATGCTCCCTAAGTGTTGGAAAAAATCTTACCAAATATCTGCTTCTAGTCCATTACTTTTTTCTCTTCACCTAGGAGCAATATGAACGTGACGATTTCTTAATTAAGCCCAGTGACAATCTCATAGTCTGTGGCAGAGCTGAACAGGACCAGTGTAATTTAGAGGTATATGGTAGGTGAACTGTATCCCTTACTGAAAGATTCTCTATTTAAGTGATATTAAAATAATAATATCCTCTCCACACATGAGAGTTACTATTATGACTTTTTAGGCACCAGATCCTGCTGTAGCCCATTTAAGTTGGTTGCGTGGCTAAATTCTACACAGTCTACGTGTAGATTTCTGGTTATTGTGCCTGAGCACATTTAGTCTGATAGGTCACTTTAGTGTCTGACTTTATGGAAGTAGGTATCCTGGAAAGTTATAGTGGGTTTTGTCAGTTGGTCACTTTTTCCCCCACATAAAAAGGCAAAAAAAACCCAAAACTGTAATCCCATTACCCTGAGGTAACTTGTTACCCTGGATTTTTACTCCAGTCCCTTTCCTGGCTGCTTTTTCTTTATATAGGGAAGATTATACACAATAGGCAGGTTTTTATCCTGCTTTTTCACAGAATAATTTCAGGTAATTTTCCCTTTTGCATAATATTTTAGTTTCTATCTATGTAAGAATTCAGTGCAGAGGCAGGCCTACCTTTGTCTTTAGGATCCAAAACACCTTGATCCCCTTTCCCAGTTTGGGAGATGTCTGCCACAGCCAGAGGTGAGTGCTTGGATTCTGAAGTAGGCACTGTTTGAATTTTTCTTTTTTTTTTAATTTTTAAATCAGGTATATTTTACTGTTAATATTAATTCAACAAACATTAAGTGAGTTTTCTTTAAAATAGACCTTCAAGATGTCTGGAATATCTGCCTCTAGATTTTCCCTTTTCTTTGTCTTGCCCTTTCCTCTCTCCACACATCCTCAGACAAGTCCATCCTTGCCCATATACTCTCCTTCCCCAACAATCTTCATCTGTCCTAAAATTTTGAAGCTTTAGAGATTGTTATTAGGCTAAGGCATTTTTTTTTGATGTTTAGTAGGTATTTACCGAGTGAATTAAAGTAGGTTGTATATCTTAAGTCACCTAAGGTTCTAATTTTTTCTGCTTAGCTGAGACTTTTTGTAGGCTAAGGCCTTTTATTATAGGAAACACAGTTGCACAGTTTGAAAGTTAAAACCTCTGGGTGTAATGTTGATTGGCATCTCCTAGTTTGCTTTGTCACTTACTCCATTTATTAGCTCTGATTTCTATAACTTTCACAGTCTGCAAGAAACCTATAGGTTAAGCCATTTTTATCCCACGGCCTACTGGGCTTTATAAAATCAAAAAGGCTTTAAATAACAGATGCCTTAATGTGAAGTTATTCTCCTAATTATCTTTTTTTTTTTTACATACGTCAAATGAAAACCATGTTGGTGACATTTTTAAAAGACCATTGCTAATTTCAAAAAACTGAAACTCTTACAGTTATTATTGATTTTTATACATTCTCATGTGAAAAGTTACTATAATCCTTCCTTTGAATTTGGTGAATATCAGAGGAGTTGCGAAATTAAAGCAGTTATATTCTTACCTCCAAGTTAGGTCCCAAAAGATATACTTTATTTTGCTTTAGTGTGAATCTCCAAATTATGAATAATATCCAAATTATGGAATATCTCTATTCAAAAATAATTTCAAAATCTCATTGTAAAGCTGATCTAAATATTGATCTGATATAGTTAAGATTGTTTTAAAGCATCATCATTTTTATTTAAAATGTAAGCAGTTCATTGACCATGGAGGTTCTTTAGGAACACAGACTAATCATTTTAAACATGGATTCTCATTGTAAAATGATGTGATAGAACATTACATGGAATCTGCTGATCACAGGAGCTATCCCAGATGCAGACGTCTAAGGAATTTTTTAAAAAAAGTCCTTTTCCTATCTTAACATTGCTTCTTTCTAATAAAAAAGCATACTTTTTTATGAGGAAAAATTTCTGATTATTTGCACTGTTTTATCATTGTTTCACTTTTATTTTTGCTCCTTAACATTATAACTGTGATGATAAAAAGCTGATTCTTTAGTTGCCATATTCCAAAAAGAATGTTCTCAAGAGCTTTCTTTACATAAACTTTGGTCTTCATAAATTTTTTAATATTAAAAAAGTGTTTGACAAGCATTTGATATCCACATATAAGTTATTTCTTTCCAGTGCTGTTGTTTTTGTTCTTGACTTAAAACCAGAATAGACCTTTAAAAGATAAAATAATAATGAAGTACTCCTTATGAATATTTGTTTTCTGTAACTGATTTACAGGAACATAGGCACATTTTAGCCACTGAGAATACAGATGGAGTATTCGGGCAGATGTCAGTTCTCAGTGTGCATGTTCCCCTTGGGGGCATACCAGGTGATAGGAATATATTAGACCTGCAAAATTCTTGCTTAGCAGTAACGGTTTTGGAATCTCATTATCATCAAATACGTGTCTTTAAGCATGTAACTCCTGTAGGTTTAATAAAGTCTCTTTTCCGAATCTTTTCAGTTTATAATCAAGAAGAAGATTCTTTTTATGTACACCATGATATACTGTTGTCTGCATACCCTCTGACTGTGGAATGGCTAAATTTTGATCCCAGCCCAGACGATTCTACTGGTAATTAGAAAACATAAGATTGCTCAGTAGTTCCCAGTCCTGCGTGTTTTTTTCCTAGCTACATAAGTTACATATTCTGTATGAATGTTCTCAGAATTGTTGATGTTTTAAGTTATAATGTTATTTTATGAAATTAGTTATACAGTTCTTAAAACACAATCACTTAAATTTTTGGAGTCTGTATGTCTCCAGACTTCAGACAGGCAGAAGGACAAGGTCTGAATGCATTTCAGGCTGCAGAACTGTGAAGGTGTCACCAAAATCCAGTGTAAAATAGCATGATGTGGCTGATGTTATCAGCCAGAGTTCAGTGGTATGACGCTTTTCAGAAAGCATCAAGTAAAACCAAAATGAAGAGAGAATTAGGTTCTTACGTTAGTCTTTTTAGCCACCGCTTCACACTATTGATTGCCCTATCCTGCTTCTTAAGGGTAAAATCTGGTAACTGGCCTTACATTTCATTTGCAAAGCTTGTTCACACTCATGATCTGATCATACTCTCATCCTCACAACAGCCACTGAAGGCAGAAGGGGATTTTTGTTCTCATTACCTTAGTGAGGACTGTGGGACCAAAGTCCATGCTGCTCACACTGTCCCAGGACTGGCAGCAGAGCATTGGCACCACCTGGGAGCTGGTTAGACATGCAGACTTGGGGCCCTACCTAAGACCTCCTGAAACAGATCTGTATTTAACAGTGTTCAGTTATGCGCATGCATATGAGAGTTTGAGGGAAACTGCTCTAAGCCACTGTCTAGTCAACAGTGTAATGTATTTCATTTTGTTTCTTAAAATCATAAGCACATCATTTCCTCCTGTAGGAAATTATATTGCCATAGGAAACATGACTCCTGTTATTGAAGTGTGGGACCTTGATATAGTTGACTCCTTAGAGCCAGTCTTCACACTTGGAAGTAAGCTGTCAAAAAAGAAGAAAAAGAAAGGAAAGAAGGTAAACAAGTTAATAGATGTTTAAACTCATAATAAAGAGAGATAAGTTTACATTGGGAGGAAGATATAGTTTTTCAGTTACATAGAATAGAACAAGTAGGTATGAGTTACTATAGTCTTTGGTTTCAAAAAGTTGAAGGAAAATTTGATCTCTGCATCACACCTGCGTTGACACTACACAGAACAGTTTACTCTTAGGTCATGATCTTCCTTTATAGTAACTATTCACACTAATTAGGCTAGTTTTGAACTTATTAAAAAGAATTTCTATTTAGCCTTCAGTGTGTTGAAGTCTAAATATCCATGCCTTAATTCCTGTAGCTTTTAAGTTTTTGGGGTGTGGGGAGGACTCATATTTGTAGAATTATTGCACCTATATTAAGAACTACTATAGTTGCTTCTCTGTAGAGAGCATTTATCAGAGATCCCTAAAGTAACAGTGAGACAAGGTATTTCTTTCTGTAGGTCTTCAGCAAGTTTGCGTAAGCTCAAAATAATAATCCTAAGAGTTAAAGAATCTTTCAAATTAATATAAATTTTATTTTTGGGGGGAGACTTTGATACAAAAAATAATTAAACAATTATTACAGAACTCTCCAGCAGAAGGGCATACGGATGCTGTCCTGGACCTTTCTTGGAATAAGCTAATCAGGTATGAAGAACATTAACAGTAACATTTGAAGGATTGTTAAAGACTAACCACTGTGATCTTACCTCATGCCTACACCTGTCTTTGTCCATTGTGTGTTGTGGGTCTCTGTCCATATCTTATTTTCCTTTCCTGCATAATATGTGTTGCTTGCAGGCAGGAGCTCTGCTGTCTGTCCTTGCATTCCCCATCCCAGGCCAGCTCTGGTGCTTGTTACTCATTTGATGACCAAACGCCCTCCTGTCCACTACTGCTGGGAAAACGCGGGTATTCCAGTGTCAGTGGTGCCAAATTGCTTCCTCACAGAACATATTTTTCTCACTTCATTTTGTTTTCACAAAATCTTATCCTCATTTTTTTTTACTTAATAATGTGGTAAAATATACATAACATAAATTTTTACCATTTTACCCATCTTCAGGTGTACAGTTCAGTGGACATTGTTGTGCAGCCATCACCACCATCCAGTTCCAGAATTTTTTATTTTCCAAAACTGGAACTCTGTACACATTAAACAACAACTCCCCACACCCCCTTCTCCCCAGACCCTAGTAACCACCATTCTACTTTCTGTTTCTGAATTGACTCCTCCAGTTGTCTCATATAAGTAGGAATCACATGTTCATCCGTGTTTTAGCATGTGGCAGGATTTCCTTTTTAAGCCTGAATGATACTCCATTATATGTATAAATAGTATTCTTTTATCCGTCAGTGGACACCTAGGTTGCTTCCACCTCTTAGCTATTACAAATAATGCTGCTATTATTCACATAGCTGTGAAGAACGTAAGTGTACAACTGTTTCTGGTCCCTGCACTGAATTCTTTTGAGTATACAGCTGGAAGTAGAATTGCTAGATCATATGGTAATTCTATTTCTACCTTTTTGAGGATCCACCATAGTGTTTTCTAAAGCATTTGCACTATTTTGCAGTGCTGAAGGGTTCCAACTTCTGCACATCTGTGACAACACTTGTTACTATTTTTGTTTTTTTATAATAGCCATCACAAATAGGTGTGAAGTGGTGTCTCACTGTAGTTTTGATTTGCATTTCTTTTCACGTGGTTATTAGCCATTTGTTTATCTTTAGAGAAATGTCTATTCAAGTCCTTTGCTCAATTTTGAATTGGGTTGTTTTTTTGTTGCTGAATTGTAGGAGTTCTTTATATATTCTGAGTATTAATCCCTTATCAGATTTATGATTTGCAAATACTTTCCCCCATTCCATGGGTTCCCTTTAAGCCTGTTAAAAACTATTAACAGTTCTTTGTGTCCTTTACACAAAAGTTTTTAATTTTGATGCCCAGTTTATTTTTTTCTTGCCTGTGCATTTAGTTTTATATCCAAGAAATCATTGTCAAATCCATTATCATGAAGCTTTTCCTCTAAGACTTTTATAGCTTTAGCTGTTACGTTTAGGTCTTTGATCCATTTTGAGTTAATTTTTGTATGTGGTATGAGATTAGGGTTCAACTTCATTCTTTTGCACGTGTCATCCACAGATTCTTTATACTTACCCTTACATGACAATTACCCTCAAAAGTCCATTTTCCTGATAGCATAGTTGCTTTGTAAGGTAAGGAAGGTTAGGCATTAGGTTGAATATGTCTTATTTGGCAGGTAAGAACAAACTGATTATGCAAGGCACGTTTGCTCAGTGTTTCTATGACAGTGGGTACTTGGTGAGCATGAAGGAAGCATCCCTGAGTATTAGCCACCAAAGGGTATCCTGTCTTCTTGTGTTCAGACCTCTGCAGAGCTACAGCCCTTTGGGGAAATGGACCTTGGAAAGTTATTTAGGTTAGTAATTCCCAAACTTACTGAAAATCAGAATTTCCTGGGTAACCCTTTAAAATCCAAGTTCCTGTGCTCTAATCCCCCCCAAGACTGAGTCAGTAGGTCTGAAGTAGGGACCCAAGAATCTGTTGGGTTTTTTGTTTTTGTTTTTAGGCTTCTCCAGTTGAATCTGATGCTGCCAGGCTATATCAGTTGTTTGTATTTTGTGTGTATTGGGCATAGTCCTAATGGGCAAATGAATAAGAGATCTAATAATGAGTGTACCATGCTTCAGGGAACCTGCTCTTATTTAGGAATCTGAATTGTCACAATAATTACCTATACTAAATTACCATATAATAACTGTTAATTGTAAGTAACCAAAAGTTACTTCTAACAGAATAACCCCTCAGCAGTACACCAGCAGATTGGTCAGTTCCCTTCCCCAGCCTCCAGCCCTAGATCCAGGTAGACACTTAACAGCACTGCACTCCTGTCCTGCCGCATCTGCATTCATGTCTGTCTGCCATACATTTCTTTGTTCCTTAACTCTTATTTCTCCCCATGTTGCTTTAAACCTTGGTCCTCCTTTCCCCTTTTGTTATTGAAAAGGTATAGAATGCTCTAAAACATTTCCCACATTCTGGTGTGTAGAGCGTGGGATTGTGGTGAGGAATAACATGTTGACGTTGTTAGTAGTGGGAACCTTGGTTTCTAGTGAAATGCTCCCAGTAACAAAGTGCATGTTCTTTGCTAATTCAGGCTTGTGTTGGAGTATTCTTGGAGGTGTAGTGTTCAGAAGTTTTTTTTATTTTTAAGCTTCATACATTAAGAGGTTTAATGTGGGGGAATCTCAGATGTTTTGGTAACAACAAATGTACTGTGGATGAAAATGTACTGTGAAATTTTAACTCTTTACTGTTGGCAGACAGTGCATGTAAATCACTTTTGGGAATTTAACACTTAAATCAATGAAATGCAAAAGAAGGACTTAACACATTACACCCTGTTTGTGGAAGTTAATGGTAGAAGCCTTGAAATTCATTGAGAAAAAACCTAGCATGATATGAATATACATGATCCTAAGAGATGTCACATGTATTACTAAAATGTGAGTTATAAAACTGAGAGTAGTTTGAATAATGGTAGTAACTTCTTGAGTAAATAATATCCAAAAATGAACTCATCAGCATTTTGACAGTATATTCATTTTCTGAACCTCCTCCCCCCACAAAATTACTATACTAATGACTTGATTCTGGATCAAGCCATTTTAAAGCTAGATGTTGAATGAGTTTTCAATTTCAGGAGTATAATTTTACAAGGAGAAAAGGCAGGCAGCTAATATTTATCAGGATCCTATTACATTCTGGTCACTCAGCCAGGTAGGTACTTGCCTAGCAACCTTTTGAGGTTGGTTTTATTCTCATTGGTGGGCAAGAGATTTATTACTTTTAAATCCTATAACTAATAAGTAGCAACACCAATAAACCATTTCAGGGTTTCTGGGCTCTAAAGCCTGTGTTCTGTTGCAGTACATTAGTGGCGCTTGATCCCTAAGAGGTACGCATATGGTTTCTTCCTGTCAATAGTATTTAATCCTTTTTTTTTAAACAGTTGAGATATAAATTCACATCATCATAAAGTTCACTCTTTAAAAATGTACAATTTGGTGGTTTTTAGTGTATTCACATAGTTGTGCAACTTTTACCACTATTTAGTTCCATAATATTTTCATCAGTCCAAAAAGCAGTCCATACCCATTAGCAGTCACTCCTCATTCTCCTATACTTCCAGCCCTTGGCAACCACTAATCTACACTGTTTGTATGAATTTGTCTATTCTGGACATTTCCTAGAAAGGGAATCATACAATTTGTGGCCTTCTGTGTCTGGGTTCTGTTGTTCAACATAATGTTTTTAAGGTCCATCCATGCTGTAGCGTGTATCAATCAGTACATCATTCCTTTTCATTGCTGAATAATACTCTCTTGTATAGACATACCACATTGTGTGTATCCATTTACCAGTTAATGTACACTTGGTTCACTTTTGCTTATTATGAATAATGCTGGTATAAACATTTGTGAACAAGTTTTTTAATGGACATATGTTTTCATTTTTGGATATATAACAAAGAGTATAATTGCTAGGTCATACTGTAATGCCTATACCATTTACATTCCCACCAAGAGTGTAGAAGGGTTTCAGTTTTCTACATCTTGCTAATACTTGTAACTGTTTTTTTCATTATTATAATACTATGCATATGAAGTGGTAATTTTCATTTCCTAATGACTAATGGTGTTGAATATCTTCTCATATGCTCATTAGCCATTTGTATATCTTCTTTAGAGAATGTCTATTCAGAACCTTTGCACATGTTCTAGTTGGGTTATTTGCCTTTTTATTTCAGTTGAGAGTTCTTTATATATTTTAGATACAAGTCCTGTATCAGACATATGTTTACAAATACATTCTCCCATTCTGTGGGTTTTTTAGCTTCTTGGTGGTATCACTTAGAACACAAAAGTTTTTTATGATGTCCATTTATCTATTTTGTTTATGCTCTTGGTGTCATATTTAAGAAACAGTTGCTTAACCCAAGGTCATGAAGATTTATACTTGTTTTCTTCTGAGAGTTTTATAGTGTTAGTTCCTACGTTTACTAAGTCTGATCTATTTTGAATTACTTTTTGTGTATAGTTGGAGGTAGAGGCCTAACTTCATTCTTTTGCATGAGGCTATCCAATTGTCTCTCAACAGTTTGTTGAAAATACTGTTCGTTTCCCCATTGAACAATGAAAAATCTTGGCACAGGGGTTAAAAACCAGTGACCAAACTTTGAGAGTTTATTCCTGGCTCTTTACTCTACTCTGTAATCTCTGTGTCTTGTTTGCCCTTTTGCCAGTACCACATTGTTACGATTACTGTAGTTTTTAAGTTAGCTTTGAAATCAGGAACTCTGAGCTTTCCAACTTTGCTCTTTTATTTTATTTTTTCAAGATTACTTTGGCTGTTCTGGGTCCCTTGCATTTCCATATGAATTTTAAAAAACAACTTGTTGGTTTTCTGCAAAAAAGTCAGCTGGAATTTTCAAGGGGATTTTTTGAATCTGCAGCTCAGTCTGTAAATGGCAGTACAGTTGACCCTTGAGCAACACAGATTTGAACTGAGTGGGTCCTCTTATAGGTGGGCTTTTTGCAATAAATGTATTAGAAAAATTTTTTGGAGATTTGTGATATTTTGAAAAAACATTTTCTCAGGTTTAAGAATGTAGTACATAATACAACATACAGTATGTGTTAACTGTTCATTTTATCAGTAAGGCTTTTCTGTTAATCTACTCTTTCTTTCAACAGTCTTTTACAGTTTTCAATATATATGCCTTAAATTTCTTGTTATACTTATTCCTGAGTACTTTATTCTTTTTGATGTCATTGTGAATAGAATTCTTACATTTAATGCTCTTGATTTATATTTTAAAATAACCTGAGTTGTTTCCTCCCTTTCTCAGAAACGTGCTGGCAAGTGCCTCAGCTGACAACACCGTGATTCTGTGGGATATGTCCTCGGGGAAGCCAGCAGCCAGCCTTGCCCTGCACACAGACAAGGTATAGTGATTCGGGGTAAAAGGGATGCTAAAAAACCTGGGACAAATACTGGCTACAAATATTCCCAAACATCTACATATGGATATGGCTTTTTGTGAACAACAATGGGCTTGCCGTGCTATTTCACTGGATCTTCACAGAGCCCTGTGTGATAGTTAAAATTACCAATCTTAGAGATGCAGAAATGGGTGCAGAAAGGTGAAGTGACTAGGAACATTAGCGCTTTGTAACATGTTTACAGAGGCTCCTGAAAAGGAACGAGGGGATATCAGTCACCAAATGGGCTTAAAGAATTTAACAGATCTTTTACTGCAGAACACAGAGTTAATGTGCCGATGTACATTGTGGGACTTCAGAGCATGTGCAGTCCCACAGAGCAGATAAGTTAGACCACTCCCTTGTTTTCTTCTGAATATATTTTAACATTTGGGAAATATATGTATTCTGCTAAACACAGTAAGGAGAATGTTATATTGTCTTTTAAGTGTGAACATTTATTTTAAAATGTTTATTTTTGGATGTTTCTTCAAACTGTACTAAATTTCAGAGAGAAAAAAATTCATAGAAATGCTGCCAAATTGATTCTCACCAAGTATTAGATGGTTTTACCAAAACCAGAAAATGGATCTGTTCATTTATGTTTCCTCCTTTTAGGTCCAGACTCTTCAGTTTCATCCATTTGAACCACAAACTCTGATTTCTGGATCATATGATAAGTAAGAAAACATTTCAGAAATTACTGTTCCTGTTTTTATCCTCTTGAACTAATGAAGAAACTATCACTTGATGTTCAGACAGAATGTATAACTGAGGCAGTACATGTGTTTAAATTTTTACGTATTTGTCCTTTTCAACTCTGGTTGTTGCAGTATGTAAGGGAATGTGGTTCTGTTATAATAATGTAGCTCCTAGGTAGCAACTACTTTGATTTTTAGAGGGTGTATGAGTTAGCCATTGTTGTGAAACAAGCCATCCCCAAATTTAATGATTTAAAACAATAAACATTTATGCCTGCACAAGACTGAGCCAATCTAGGCTGGATTCAACTGGTAGTTCTGATTATCTTGGCTTGTTAGGAGCCAGGTGGGTGGTAGCCCACACATGTTCTCATTGGCAAGGTAAGAAGCTTAAGCAGAGGTATCAAGGCCTTTTTTTAACCTAGGCTCAGAACTAGTACACTTTTATCTTACTTTCTTGGCCAAATCAGATCACATTGAGTGGGAAATGAACTCTGCCTTTATGGGAAGAATTCCCACATCCACTGATAAAGGGCATGGACATAGGAAGAAGTGAAGAATTAGGCCACCACAGGGGGTGTCCAGTCATATGTTGCTCCTTTTGGGTCTGAAGGTAAGAGAGTTGGCTAGTAGAAACAGAATCCAACATGTAGTCTTTGATTCCTTATCCTTTGGAAGAAGTGTGTTTATACTTTTTAGCTGCGATTCATACAAAAGTACAATTCATACAAAAGTATTCCCCCAACACATAACCCACTTGTACTTGTAGAAGTTAAGTATGGCTGAGACATGGGTTATCTGGCTCTGAGCATTACTGGGGAAAGGAAAATTAGAAATTGTCCTCATCTTTTAGAAAGCAGTCATCTTGTAAGTGGAAGATTGCACCTGGAGAAGAAGGTCAAGGCCACTGACATCCAGAGCCACCAGTGCCGTCAAGTGACAGGGCCAGTGTCCACCAATTAGTGAAAATGCAACTCATTTTTTCTGCATTTAGAATATTAAAACAGGCTTTGAATAATTGGATCTTGACGTCACAGTATTGTTTACCATTTCATTATTGTATAGGAGAATTGAACTCTTAAAACCCTAACTTTGTCTGAATGTGTCCAGGTCTGTGGCTTTGTATGACTGCCGAAGTCCAGATGACAGCCATCGAATGTGGCGGTTCAGCGGGCAGATTGAGAGAGTGACTTGGAATCACTTTTCACCTTGTCATTTTCTGGTAAGACTGCATATTACTGTTTTGCTTCTCCAGGCCACTAATGACTTATTTTCCTTAATTCTATGATGGAAGGAATATCTGAAAAGCTCTTCTGTATTAACCGTGTGAGTATTTGGATTTTAGGGTTAAAAAAGGTATTTTTAAAAGAGAACAATGGATCAGCCACAAAAACTAGTAAACATGCAAATAATTGTGCTAATTTCCAGCCAATCCCAAATGTGCTTCATTTTATTTTCTTTATTGATTTTCATCATTTTATTAGTGTTTTTTTTGAAATATTAAGGTTAATATTTTTTGGCTTTTCAATGGTTAATCAGTCTAAAAAGATATTCTTACTTAAATCCTAATTCTTAAATGGAGTTCCAGTGATAAGAATGCTAGCTTATTAATATTATTAACATAGCAATGTCTCCCAGATAGGAGATATAAGATCTTTCTGTAAATACGCTAATGTCTGTAGGATGACACTTTTCCATGTAGTGCCCAAAGATTCCACTGACATTTCAGCCCATGGAGAAATAAAATCCCAGCTTTCACTAGAAGGGACAATTCAAGTAAGTATGTACTGCTTTGTAAATGATGGATTTAGTTCTTTAAAAACAGCTTTCTTAAAATAAGTGGACAGTTTTAATAAGGTTCCTGAAACAGTGATTCTAGGAACACTTAATCTCAGCTCTGTGCCCGGGGGCGCATGCCCCCCAGCTGAGCCGCCTCGTGCCAGGTCCCATTTTACAATTACCGGGAGAAACGCATCGGCTGTATTTGAATGTGGTGCTGTACTGTGGCTCCCAGCAGTCAAGCACACGTATTTCCTGAGGTTATTTGCTAATAAGTATCAGTACTAAAATCATAGATAGGGACGGAAATGAGAAGCGATCATTATAAAATGGTTTACCTCCTCCCCTCCCGTCAGAGGATGTGCTCTTCCTCCCCTTCTGCTTTGTCCCGCCCGTGGCCCAGCCTTCCAGACTCCATCGGCTTTCCCTGTTTCGTTCTCCCTTTCTCCTGTACTGTTTTCCCCCAGTCTTGACGAGTTCTCTTCTTCCATCTCCTTTTCCTTATAGTGGGCTGCTGCACTTTCAAGGATCTGCCTGTCAGTCCGTATTTAATTGAATCTCTGCCAAAATACTGACAGCGTTCTTCACTCCCTTCCTCAAAAGCCATTTCCTTGGCTTCCCTGACATCGTCACTGCTCCCTCCTCCCTCCGAGTCTTACCTCCATGCGTTCTTCTCGACAGCACCTATGTGGCCTTGCTCTCCGCGCCTCTGTCCTCAGCACACTGCTGTTTTAATTCCACACTCCAGAGTGTATCCTGGAGTGGAAGGACCACCTCGGTGCTTCCATATCTGACCCCAGTCCTTACAGTAGCACAGCTCTCATCCAGTCCATGTGAGAGCTAACTTGGCTTATCCACAAGTAAAGTGTTTATGGCCATGTTAATTTTTAATAAGCTCCTCAGGTAAGTCAGGTATGTAGCTCATTTTTCACTATAAATTATACTGTTTACCCATTGCTAAATTTTATTGTCATGTAGCATGACCTTGCTCACCTTTTACTCTTTCCAGGCCAGTACTGATGACGGCTTTGTATATAATTTGGATGCACGTTCAGATAAGCCAGTTTTTACACTTAATGCACACAATGATGAAATCTCTGGTGAGCAAGAATAGTGTTTCTTTTATGTCTATTAACATAGGAAATAAATCTGTATTTCAAAGTGAGAGTCTCTGAACTAATCTTTTTAGGTCTTGATCTAAGCAGTCAAATCAAAGGGTGTCTTGTGACTGCATCAGCGGACAAGTATGTGAAGATCTGGGATGTATTAGGAGATAGACCAAGTCTAGTTCACTCTAGGGACATGAAAATGGTAAGAATCTCCCTGAACATATTTGTTTTGTTTTTTGTTCTTCTGTTTTTGACTTGTTGCTTTGTCTAGGAATCACTGCATTAAAGACTGGGTTTCTTGGGGAAGTTAATTTTGAGCTTAGTCAGTTTTAGCCATTGATTTTTCCCTCCAGCTGTCCTAACAGTTGCTTGGAAAGGAAAATAAGGGTGGGAAGAGACTTTTCTAGGACACAGTTGGTCACATTTTTCTACCCTAAAATCTGGACCATCCCAGGGAATCTTGAACCTTTAGGGTACGATAACTGTTAGGATCAGTTTATCACTACCTCTTTGCGTACCTGCTTCTGACTACACTGAAATTACTATATAGTAGCCCAAAGTGATTTAATAGTGCCTGGAAATACTGAGGTTAGACTTATTAGGAAGACTTGTTAGACCTAATAGGATATTAATGAAAATAAGAAACCTGAGTGACCAGAGCGTGTACACATTTCCTCTGAGAACGTTCACTATGCGAACTTAATCCAACCTGACACTAAACTACCTTTCTGCAGGAGGCTTGAAAGCACAGTTGGTGAGTTGTTTTGAGTAACATTTAAATCATAGGTTCTTATAGACAGGAGTAGGGATCTAGGACTTTCTGGAAAAATTGAAATCACTGAGTTCCTGTTCTCCCTAGGGAGTGCTCTTCTGTTCTTCTTGTTGCCCTGATTTGCCATTTATTTATGCCTTTGGAGGTCAGAAAGAGGGGCTTCGGGTATGGGATATAAGCACAGTCTCTTCAGGTAAGACTCTTAGTTTCTTTCCTTTTCTGAATGAGTTCTGTAAAGGCTGTCATACAGTGTGTGGCTTGAATAAGTAGATCTAGTGTTCATTCATCTGTTATGTGCTAGACAAGATCAAGTATAATTTGGAGATGTACACAGATAAGTTTGTCTTCATCCTTTAAACATAGATGATTCTAAAAGTTGAAAGATCCTATGGGGAAGCTGGAAGAAAATGTAACATGGTCTCAAAAAGCAGCACTCCCCCACTGTGAATAATTCTGCCTTTTTTGAACTGCCTTCCACAAAATCCAGCTTTCCCAAAGGGGCCACAGGAGATCCTGGCTGCTTATTTATTACCTTGGGGTAGTGTGGTTTACCATATAAACACGGAGGCTATAGCCCCACTATCCGATTCCTAACTCGTTCCTCCTTCCATGTAGAAAAAGGGTCCTAAATCCAAAGAAGTTCTATGCTGGTCAGGACACAAAGTATAAACTGGACCAATTTGTAACACAATTAACCTTATTCAGAACATTAACTTGGATCTGAGTTGGTTACTTCCTTTCCCATTTATAAATATATTTTCATAAGCAAAATTTCCACCCCAGAGTAGAGAACCTTATTGCTACACTTTAGTCTGTTTTCTGTTCTAGTAGTTAACTATTTATTTGTGTTTTAGTAAATGAAGCATTTGGAAGACGGGAGAGGCTTGTTCTCAGCAATACAAGAAACTCCTCTATTAGTGGTCCTTTTGGGAACAGGAGCTCAGACACACCAATGGAGTCTTAATGAAGATCGTAAAAGTTATTTACCAGAAGCTGGCCTAAACAGTTTTCCATATATAGCTACAGCCATGCACTGACTGAAACAAAATTCCTGACATTCCCCTCTACAGCTCTGGTGGCTGCACAAATACACCAGCCTTTGTGTTTACCTGTTGAGCATGTGGTATGTAGACTACCTCTTGGATTTCTGGAAAAGGAATAAAGGTTTTTAAAATAGGTAAAACTCTATACTCTTAGTAGAGATTTGGTAACTAAAAATAGCATGTCTTTTTTTCCCTAGCATGGTATGCAGTGTTAAAGGGGTCATTCCAACAAGGAGATATAATATTCATAAATACTCATATATATACAAATCATAATTTGCTTTATATATTTAAATGTTAATAGACCTAAAGGGATGAATAGTAATATAATAATGGTAGGGGACTTTAATGTCCACCTTCACCAATGTTTAGATTATTCAGACAGAAAAGCAGTAAGGTGGCTGTAAATAACAGTCCATTAGGATGGACTGAACAGACATGCAGAACATCCCACCCAGAAGCAACAGAACACACATTCTTCTAAGCACACATGGAAAAATCTCCAGGACAGATCATATACCACAAAACAAGATGCTTGATATGATTTCAGTTTTCTTAAATATGTTAGACTTCTGACCACAATGGTATGAAACTAGAAATCTGGAAAATTCAAAAATAATGTGTAAATTAAACACCATGCTACTAAACCATCAATGGGCCAAGGGAGAGATAAATCTTGAGACAAATGAAAAGTGGAAATACCACAGCAATAAAATAAAAACGATCTTAAAGTCTGCACCTCCAGGGATTAGAAAAAACAAGGGAAACCCAATGTTGGTAGAAGGAAGGAAATAAAGATCAGAATGAGAATACAAGAAAGACCAAAAAGACAGGATTCAAAATTAGAGGGGACTCTACAACTGATACCACAGAAATACAAAGGGTCACGAAGAGACTGCTAAGAACAATTGCATGTCAACAAATGGGACAACCTAGAAAAAATGGAAAATTCCTAGAGATACAAAGCCCACCAAGACTGAATCATGAAGAAACAGGAAATCTGAACAGGCCAATTACTAGTAAGGAAATTGAGTCAGTAATGAAAAACCTCCCAATATAGAAAATTGCAGGACCAGGTGGCTTCACTGGTGAATTCTACCAAATATGTAAAGAATACCAAATCTCAAATTCATCCAGAAAACAGAAGAGGAGGGACTACTTGCAAACTCATAAGGCCAGCATTACCCTGATACCAAAACCAGACAGGTACTACAAAAAGGAAAACGACAGACCAATATCCCTGATAAACCGAGATGAAAAGGCTCATTCACCATGGCCAAGTGGGAATTATTCCAGGATGCAGAGGTGGCTCACTATCCACAAATCCACATTAATGACAGGATAAAAACCATATGGGTCATCCCAATGAAAAAGCATCTGACAAAATTCAGCCAAAATTGTCATGATAAAAAGTCTCAACAAAGTGGTTTTGGAGGGAACATATACAAAAGACCCATAGCTAACCTCATACTGTAGCAAAGAGCTGAAGCTTTCCCTCTAATATCAAAAACAAGACAAGGACGCCCACTCTCACCACTGAACGCAACACAGTACTGGAAGTTCTAGCCATAGCAAACAGACAAGAAAAACAAGGCATCCAAGTTGGTAAGGAAGAACTTTGTTACTAGTTGCAGATGACATGACACTGCATATATACAGAAACCCCTGAAGATGGTACCCAAAACTACTAGAATAAATGAATTCAGTAAAGTTGCAGGATACAAAATCTATATATGCAATCTGTTGTTTTTCTATATACTAATAAACAATTCATGAAAACAGTCCATTTACAATAGCATCAAAAAGACTAAAATACCTAGGAATAAGTCTAAACCAAGTAGGTGAAAGACCTGTAGTCTGAAAACTAAGACACTGATTAAAGAAATTGAAATGTGACACAAATGGAAATTGTTCATACTCACTCATAGATAAGAACTAATATTAAAATGTAAATATTACCCAAAACAATCTACAGATTGAATGCAATCCTATCAAAATACCAATAGCATCTTTCTCAGAACTAGAGGAAGTAATCCTAAAATGTGTATGGAACCACAAAAGACCCCAAATAACCAAAGCAATTTTGAGAAAGGAGAACAAGCTGGAGGTATTATGCTCCCTGGTTTCAAGCTATACTACAAAACTACAGTGATCAAAACAGTTAAATGATACTGCAAAAACAGACACATAGATTGATGGAACAGAATAGAGAGCCCAGAAATAAATCCACACACATGTAGTCAATAATGCAAAGGATGCAAGAATATACAATGGGGAAAAGAGAGTCTCTTCAACAAATGGTGTTGGGGAAATTGAACAGCTACATGGAAAAGAATGAAAGTGGATCACTGTCTTACACCATACACAAAAGTAAACTTGACTCAATACCCAAAAGGCAAATGACCCTATTAAAAAATAGGCAGAGGATATGAACAATTCTCCAAAGAAGGAATTCAGATGGCCAACGGGCACATGAAAAGATGTTCCACATCGCTAATCATCAGGGAAATGCAAATTAAAACCACAATGAGATACCACCTCACACCAGTTAGGATGGCCAACATAGAAAAGACAAGGAACAACAAATGCTAGCAAGAATGGAGAAACGGGAACCCTCCTACACTGCCGGTGGGAATGTAAACTAGTTCAACCATTGTGGAAAGCAATATGGAGGCTCCTCAAAAAACTAAAAATAGAAATACCATTTGACCCAGGAATTCCACTCCTAGGAATTTACCCAAAGAAAACAACTTCTTAGATTCAAAAAGACACATGCATCCCTATGTTTATTGCCACACTATTTACAATAGCCAAGATATGGAAGCAATCAGTAGATGAATGGATAAAGATGTGGTACATATACACAATGGAATACATAAGAAAGAAAGAAATCCTAGCATTTGCAACAACATGGATGAAGCTAGAGTATTATGCTCAGTGAAATAAGTCAGGCAGAGAAAGACAAATACCAAATGATTTCCCTCATTTGTGGAGTATAACAATGAAGCAAAACCGAAGGAACAAAATAGCAGCAGACTCACAGACTCCAAGAAGGAACTAGTGGTTACCAAAGGGGAGGGTGTGGGAAGCGGTTGGGGAGGAAGGGAGAAGGGGATTAAGGGGTATGATTGGCACACATGGTGTGGGGGGATCATGGGGAAGACAGTGTAGCACAGAGAAGGCAAATAGTGACTCCGTGGCATCTTACTACACTGATGGGCAGTGACCGCAATGGCATAAGGGGGGGACTTGATGATAAGGATGATGTAGTGACCACATTGTTTTTCTTGTGAAATCTTCAACAATACCTTAATTTTTAAAAAAAGTAAACTTGAAATGGATTAAAGACCTAAATGTAAGATGTGAAGCCATAAAACTCCTAGAAGAAAACAGGCAGTAAACTCTTGAACATCAGCATTAGTAATTCTTGTCTGGGTATGTCTACCAGGCAAGGGAAACAAAAGCAAAGATAGGTGGGACTACACTAAAAAGCTTCTACACAGAAAAGGACACTTAACAAAACAAAAAGGCAACCTACTGAATGGGAAGAGACATATGCAAATGATATATCTGATAAGGGGTTAATATCCAAAATATATAAAGAACTCATGCAACTCAACATCAAAAAATAATCTGATTTAAAAATGAGCAGAGGACCTGAACAGACATTTCTCCAAAGACAGAGATGGCCAACAGAAAAGATGGAAAGATGCTTAACATCACTAATCATCAGGGAAATGCAAATCGAAACCACTATTAGGTATCACCTCACACCAGTCAGTGGCCAATATCAACAGGAAGTAAGTGCTGGTAAGAATGTGCAGAAAAGGAACCCTCGTACATTGGTGGTGGAGTGTGAATTAGTGTAGCCACTATGGAAAGCAGGATGGAGGTTTTAAAACAACTAAAAACAGAGCTACCATATGACCCAGTATTTCCGCTTCTGGGAATTTGCCTGAAGAAAAAATCACTGATTTAAAAAGATATGTGCATGCCTATGATTATCACAGCATTATTTATATTAGCCTAGATATGGAAACAGCCTGTGTCCATCAATAAACAAAGAAGATATGGTACATATATACAATAGGATACTACATAGTCACAAAAAGATTCAGATTTTGCCATTTGCAACAATATGCGTGGACCTACAAGGTATTATGCTACGTGAAGACAGAAACAAACACAATATGACTTCACTTATATGTGGAACCTAAGGGCAATAGAAATGAACAAAACAAATAGACTTATAAACAGAATAGTCTGGTGGTTGCCTGGGAGAACAGGTGAAATAAGTGAAGGAGATAAAGAGACACTAACATCCAATTATAAAATAAATTAGTCATGGGGATGAAAGTACAGCTTAAGAAATATAGTCAATAATACTGTAATATCTTTGTTAACATATGGCAACTACACTTATGAGCATTTAGTAATGTATATAATTAACAAATCACTGTTGTACACCTGAAGCCAATATGTATATCACTATATTTCAATTTATAAAAATCAGAAAAAAATAACTATACTTCCACTTCCAGCTATGATACATTAGCTTGTGGTAGGTACTCTGTCAGTGAAAACAAGAAAAGCTGAACAAAATCCGTGCAACATCGATTTAAAGCCACTGGGGAGTTTCCAAGGCAGCTGGGACTTGAGAGGCAAAGATCCTGGGAAAAAGGACAGGCTGGTGTTCTTCTCAGGCATCTACTAATTTTTATGTTGTGAGAGGAGAAACAGGGGAACTTCAGGTGAAAAGTGCAGCAGAGCGTTCAGCAGTCTCACAATACTGGAAAACCAAAGGTTGAACATAAGGACCTCAAGGAGGGAGGTCTCTAAAAGCACTTCAGGTTCTTGTAGTGACCCCTGGAAGTTGTGGTGAACCAGCGGTGCAGCCAACTTTATAAAATCTGAAGCCCAGCCAAGACTGAATTGAAGGGTCCTTGCTCTAGTTGTTTGACAGAATATATGGTGAATCTGCTCTAGAGAATTTCATCTACAACGTCTACAGATTTTCATATACAATCCCCAGGTTCCCATCAAAAATTACCAAGCATAGTAGGAAATAGGAAAAAAGAAGAAACAGAATCAGGAATTCACACAATGGACTTCTACCGGACATGGGCTTCAAAATAAACCA